CTCTCTCTCTCTCTCTCTCTCTCTCTCTCTCTCTCTCTCTCTCTCTCTCTCTCTCTGCATCGCCAACCTGGGGCCAGCTACCACTAGCAAAGAGGATTGCCTAAAAAAAAAAGAATCTAAACGTGTTCGTGGAGCAGTGCGGAAAATTGTGCTTGATCTGGTTCTCTGCATCTCTGTGTCGAACACATCCAGATTGAGGCGCTAAAATCAATGCAGCGGGACCTGCTGCAGTGGTAGGAGTGTACTTCCATCTTGAAGTTCCTTTTTTTTTTGTAAAGGACTGACAGCGGCACACGCACTATGCCTTTCCTTGGATGTGAGATCAGGACTTAGAATGCTCCACCACACCTGGGTTGTGTTCAGCTTGTTAGGAACGAGGAAACTGTCTGGGATCAGGAGAAACCGAAATTCAAAAATGGGCTGTCGTATTCATCATGGGGCAGTAAGCAACAAAAGTCGGCCATTATCGAAATCTATCTCCACCGGATCGATCAGAACAACACTATCCGATCTGAGATCCCTATGAGAGTGTTGACTGTGAAGAGGGAACTTAGGATCAAAGGATTCCCATCGGAGGTTTTCGAACGTGTCCTGAAAGCCTTTGCTATGAGAAAAGATTATATTTGGAAATGGACAGTGAAACTCCTTTTTCCTTAGTCGGGACCATGCATTATACTGTACCAGAGTGGATCCAGGGAGTGTTTGTGTTTTAGGTAGGAATCGTGCTACATCCTTGTGCGCACGAGGAGAGATTTTATTTTCTTTGTTTTAGTACATAACATCTCTACAGATATTCAGACAGGGTCGAATTAATCTGTAATGTTGCTTACGTATTTTGTATTGAGTGTTTTTTGGGTGTGAGTTTTGGTTTGTGTCTTGTTTGGAATAGTCTAGATTTGTTTTCGGGACGAAGTGGACTCTGGATAGTCGGACAGGGTCGAATAGTTTGTTGATTTCGTGTTGTTGTATCTGTGTGGCTGAGTTGTGGTTCTGCTTGAGATTACGACGCTTGAGCAGGAATAGGCTGGAGTTCGTTTTTTTGACCTGGGGACTTAATTGTCCGAGGATGACTTTGGAGGCAACAGGCGTTTCTGTGGTATCGGGATGACCGGTGCGGTCTATTTTGCCTGAGACTAGGCCTTTTGTGACCTTAGGGCCAAGGGTGCCCTTTGCGAATTCGAACCAATAGGCATCGATTTGGGACAACAAGTGGTGTAATGTGATAGGAGAAGGCGGGTTTCTGGTTTGTTGACGGACTGTTTGATGTTTTCTGTTTGCGATATATAGGACTAAGAGTTAGGATAGTCGACCTCTGTGATGGGACTAAGAGCTAGGATAAACAACCTCTGTGTTACAGAAGCGGAAAAGTGGTGAATGGACTAGTATCGGGTTGAGGAGAAGTGGAAACCCCCTGACGAGGCAACGTGGCTGCTGCCGGAACGTGCGTCGGGGACGCCGTTCTCTCACTCGATTGAAAAGCAAGTTGTTGTTATTTATGCGGCTGTCAAAGGTTATTTATATCAAATTCAGATTTCTCAAATTCTTAAATATGAACAAGAGTTGTTGAAATCAATTGATCCAAGTTTGTTTTCTGCAATTGCACAACAAAAAACAATCATTGAACAAATCGATAGTCAACTGGTTAACTTTTGTCAAAAATTTACTCAGAGTTTCTTAGCAACTCACTCGGGTTAATTCACCATTTTTCTATATCTTTGTGACTCTTTTGGGTGGGGTAGCATTGAAAAACAAACCCCACCAGGGGAAATGTCAAGTGGTTCAAGGAAGAATAGTTTAGTAGGTTAGAACAGCGGAACTGTTGTAATTTTTTCTATTTGTCAAAGTTGAGATGACTATCTTTGTTTTTAAACTGTCTCTTACGTGCTTTTCATTGACTACATGTGTTTTTTCCATGTACCTTATCACTATCACTATATGTATATATATGTATATCTTTGCAGGAAACTGATTGTATATCGTTTTTTTCTTACCTACTTCTTATTATTATTATTATTATTTTTATTTATTTTTTTGTTTCCTTTTTTTTTGTTTGGGAAACGTTATGCCGTCCTGTCTTGTAAATGGCACTCAAAGCTTGGCAATGTCCCATATTATGCGTTCGCGTGGAGGGACGGTTAACGGACGCCTCAAACAATTTTGACTGCCTTTGTTATGTGCCATAGTCCTGACTGGCATTGGCAGTGTCCTTTTTTTTCTTAAAAACCAACATCAACAACAACAACAGGAACAAAAACATAAGATTTCATGCAAAACCTCTATCCTATTACACACATTCGAAAAAAAAAAAAAAAAAAAAAAAAAACTTTGTCCAGGTGGCCGTAGGAGACGCGCCGTGATTGAGGCTTTGTCTTCTCAGATGCTCCATTAATTGGTGGGGAGCCAAAGCTGCTGGACACCGGGTCCAGAATGCTCCTAAGGCACTGCCATTGCCTTCATTGGATGGGCCAGGGATTTCCTCCATCTATGCGTGCCAATATCTGACTTTAAACCTCGTGATCTTTTTTTTCTGTTCTGCTTTTTGGTGAAGGATAAAACACACGTTCTTCATCAGAAGCGATGCAATGTTCCCTCTTATGTTTGCGATTCCAAATTTCCCGGACTAATACAGAAAAATTAATGCGTGTCTCTTTTCCCATACTTCAAAATTTCCATACTTCAAAATTTCAAAAACATATCGAACTCTCCATTACTCTCCGACTGTCGCAAACTCATACGAACTTGGTGGAATTCAACATTCTCATTGGCAGCAGCTCTTTTCAGTGCAATGCCAGCTGCTCATCCACATTAAATTTCCCAGATGCCAACATATATGTGTGTAACATACATGTACGTATACAGGTATATATGCACCATGTTTGTGGTCCGATTGGCCATCCTCAGGCCTCTATAATCAGCAGCAACAGGCTCTCAGATCTTCTCAGATCTCCAACCTTTTTCTCACATCTTTTTCCCCATTCTGAGCTTTCTCTTGTGGACATGCAATGATATGGTATGGAGGTGGAGTTATCTCTATTCTTTGTTTTGCTTTCCAAAAGATGGTTTTATTTTTTTGTAGTGCTCGCATGTCGCGAGGCCCACTAAGAGGGAGTGAAGACGAATGTCCTTCCTGAATGACATTGTTTCATTTTTTTTTATTTTTATTTTTGTTCTCTGAAGGATGCTGGACCCAGTTTCACAGAATAATGACTCTCTCTCTCTCTCTCTCTCTCTCTCTCTCTCTCTCTCTCTCTCTCTCTCTCTCTCTCTCTCTCTCTTGCGCTCGCGCGCCTACAGAATGCACTGACTCTATCATGTTCTGCACCCGATAGAACTTCTATCCACAACGAATTCAGACGTTGCCATACATGCATGCAATAGCAGAGCACAATCAAAAGACGAAATTCACCCAAATAACGAAAAAGAAGAAATTCATAGCAGAAGCTAAAAAAACACAGAGAATTCAAAAACGAATTTCAAATACGTCATTCATCATGCTCCCCCAATCAAATCAGAGTACTTGTTCGCAAGTTGTTCCAAGGATCCCAACCACTTTACGAACAAACATGGACCAAATATTTGCAAGATATCATCGAAGTATCTGGGAGTCTTCTTCTTCCTTCCTCTTCCTCAGATATGGTGCCTGTGAGCACCCGAACCTTGAACCTCACAAGCCTGCTAATCGCCACACACCCTCCTGAATCCGACACTCCTCTATACCGCTGGAGAAGGCCACGACAGATGAAGTGTTCACTCAGCAGGGGAGCGCAACTCCCACGATGATAAAGAAGAACAGCAAGTCGATGAAGATGAAAAAGATCTGCCACACCGAAGAAGAACTGCCAAAAGTGCGTCTTCGGTGGCAGCTGAGCAACCCCAAACAGACAGCAAGCAGGATGCGCCTCAGCCGGGCCTGATGCCCAGGGTATATCTGCATCAATCTAGTCGTGGACATGTGGGAGCCAGTTTGTAGCTTCCACAAATGTAGTCTTGCGGACACGTGGGAACTCCCCGGACGTCCACAAATGTAGTCTAGGCAGCCGCTGCTCGAAATCCATCCTTCAAAAGTCGCCTATCGGAAAACCTGCACACCATTCACAACCACTGCTTACAGATGTTAGAGTGCCCATCAAGCTCACACAATCCAAAAATACGATTAAATATGATCGATCCTCATTAATAATCTCCCTCCCCAGTTCATTCACTGCCATGATTTTCCAGAAACCCCACATCAGGGCTTTGGTGCCCACAAACGATTTCACAGACATGTTTCATCAAACAGAAACACATACACACACACACACACACACACACACACACACACACACACACACACACACAGAGTTTCATGACCGCCTTTTTGGTGGACAAACAGAACATTGTTTACCTTGAAGCATGCTCACATTGCTGAGGGTGGCACAACACACACACACACAACTCGTCTACCAACTGGCTGATTCCAAACGTGGCCGCAAGTCTCAACGTCGTGCACGCACCCTTCGACCCCAGTTATCGAGAATGCCAGAGCTTTCATATCAGCTGTTGGGTATTCATTTACGTTGAGGTCGTGCTTGATTCACAGGATTCGCCTTTCGAGCTTCCTGCTCTGTCGTTTTCGGATCTTCATCTTCGCTCCCCTTGTCATCGTCGTCAGCACCCCTAAGATCCACGACCTCCACCTCGTCGTCCTTTTCACCCACTCCATCCTTGTTGTCGTTATCCTCGCCTTCCCCATCCCCTTCCTCGTTCGAGCCATTATTCTGCTCCTTCTCCCCCTCCTCGTTTTCGTCATCTTCCCCCTCCTCGACATTGTTGTCATCCTTGTCGAACTCCTCGCCGTCGTCCTCTTCCATGCCCTCGCTCTCGTCCTCGTCATCCCCCTCCTCGCCATCGTCTTTGCCCACCCCTTTGTCTGTCTCGAGTTCATCTCCATGTGCGTTGTCCACGTCATACAGGCCCTCATGGCCATGCGCTTCTGTCGCATATACTTCGAGGCCGTCCACTGCGTGAGAGTTAAAGACTCCAAGATGATCATGCTCGTCCCCGGAACGCTCGTAAGTACGCAATCGGTTTAGACCTTCACACGCAGGCACGGTATTTGCCGCCACAGCCTCGTCACCAGGACGCATGTGCACAAGACTTTGCCATCACTGAACTCCACCCGCCACGATTGATGTCGTTTGTGCGCATTTGTCCACATGATCTCATACACATTTTGCGATGCCTTTCGGATCTCATACTTCATCGCCAACTCCACAGTCTCTCTCAAGATCTTCTCCACGACCGAAGGGAATCTACTCCTCTCTGCAGCAACCTTCTCTCTCCTCTCTGTGTGCCAAGTCTGCACGATTCCCCTGTACCCCTCAAGCATCGATATCGGAGGCTGTCCACGAACCTCCAACATCTTGATGTTCATGGACTCGGCCACGGACGATGTAACTTTACCATACCTTGGATGAACGAAGTGGGGGCCCCCCCAATGTCTTTTGTCCGCTTTCTCAAATATTTGGTCGACAATGTTCTTATGCCTCGAACACCCAGCGACGCGCTGCATGAACTAGTCGAAAACCTCCTCGCAAGTCGCCCTCGCCGCTTCAAGGAGCATCGACGCCTGTTCCTTTTTCAGCCTCAAGCTCTTCAGGAGGTTACCACTGACGTGGCGGACACAGTATGCGTGGCGCTCATCCCCAAACTCCTCACTCACCGCAGGTATGAGCCCTTTGTCCCGGTCCGACATTATTGTCACTTTTCAGTGGTCCATCTTCGCTACAGCGCACAAGCGTTTTAGGAGGACCAGAAACCACTTCCAATGCGTCTTCCTCTCGCCATCCACAATCGTGTACGCCAGGGGAAAACATTGGTCATTCGCATCTCGACCAGTGGCGCAAAGAAGACAACCCTCGTATTTTCCTCTTATGTGCGCCCCGTCGAGCACAATCAAAGGTCTGCAGTGTGCAAATCCAGTCACTGAGGCGTCCAACGCGAAAAAAATGTCAACGAAGACATTGCCCTCACACTCAAGGTCGATGATGGACCCAGGGTTTGTTTCATGCAACACCCTGCAGTACCTTCGCAAGTCGTTGAACCCCTCCTCCGGAGGCCTGTTCAATGCCTGAAGCACAGATGTTCTCGCTCGCAAACACTTGCTGTAGCTGACGTGGGTCTTCACTGCCTTGTCAAACCATTTCTTCAACTTCGTAGAAGTCGTTCCGTTGTCCTCTCGCAACTTCTTCTCTACCATAAGCTCCACCCACCTTAGCTTCACGTGTTTGTTGCGTTTCATGTCGGGCTGGACTGGTTTTCTACAACCAGGGCGATGTGGAGTCAGACGAACAATCTCCGCGGGTCCACCAGCATGCGCTGCTTTGCCCTCCAATGTCCATGTGCAATCTGGTTGAGCACATGCGACATAGTACCGTGTCTTGTTCGATCTCTTGAGGTGGAACTCGAAACCAAATGCCACAGCACAGAACACCACCGCGTCACACAACGCATCGATAGACGCATAACGACCTCCCACTTCCAACGGTTTGACATCCCCCATGAGTGCTTGTTGTGTGGGAGGTGTAGTCCGCATTGCAGCATCAGGACTGGCCAGATCATCGCCTGATGAGAACGCCTCACGGTCAGAGGATTCATAAGCCGGTTGCCTATGTATCCCTGTAGGCCGCGATCACCCCGGGCATGACCGCGGCCCATGCGGTCGACTGCGAGCCCGCGGTCATGACCGCCGCGGCTGCGGTTCAAAAAGGCTTGCCGCGGGCGAGGGGGAGGGGGTGTTGGAGGTCGGGGTCGGGATTCCGGGGGCTCACCCTAGGCCCCATGCCCCCGCATTGAAAAAAAAACAAAAAAATTAAAAACGGGGGGGTCCATATTAGGGGGGGGGAGAAAAATAATGGACCCCCTACCGTTTTTTTTTTTTTTTTTTTTTT